CATAACAAACTTCCATATCATTTTTTTCTTCTTTTTCTCTCTTAGATACTTGCTTCCTGACAACAACAAATCTTCCAAGCACAAAACTCATGTAATAAAAAAGAGTGTGAATCCCCACTGGAATCATACGTTCACTTTTAGTGGTTTGAACCCTAGAGATATACACAATGTGTGTGTAGAACTCACTGTCTGGGACAAGGAGTCTCTTGCCAGCAATATCTTCCTGGGAGGTGTTCGCTTGAGTACTGGAAGTGGTAGGTGTGGTGGACCTTCTTTCCCCTCTTTGGTGGAAGGGAATAGAAAGGGAGACTAAGAAATGAAACTTCTATAGTACTCTTCATATTTAGAACTGGATAACAACACTTGAGAGACCTGTTTAGTTCTTCTTCTTGCAGCTTTTGGCCCACAGTGAAGTCTTCCCATATTTCCCACAACATTTTTATTATATCAGTTACTCTTTTTATTACACTATGGTTCGTTCCATTGGTATGTAAGTTCAAACCATGGATAAGGAGCCTGTAAACTCCAGACAGCACCCCCCACCCCCATTTCTTTTGTGCTGCTCAAAGCACTGAAATTCAAGCAGAATTTAATAGTGTGATCTTTTAACACAGAGTTAAATGAGTAGAATTGGAAACACAGCATTTCTAGAAGATGAAATATTTTAATTTCATCCTTATCTCCTCCTCCCAAATTCCAGAAAAGAGACTGTCAAAATATGGAGAATTAAAATGCAGGGCTTCTGGGAAGTTAAATGCTCCCATCCACTCATAAGGTGTTGGATTGGGAGTGAGGGGACTCAGGTTTTAGACCATTCTTAGTCATGGAAGTTCCCTGGGTGACTTTGGGCCACTCAATTTCTCTCAAACCAACTCTGTTGTGCATGAAAATAAAGGGAAAGAGTATTATACTGTATATGCTGCCTTGAACTTCTGTATTAAAGGCAGGATAGAAATCTAATAATAAATAAATAAATAAATAAATAAATAAATAAATAAATAAATCTCCACTCTTATCATTTCTCAAATGATAGGAAAAAAACGAATAGGAAAAATTAGTCTTTATTGTTGCCCTCAGGCCTTTTGCAGAGTTATGGAGCCCTGATCCAGAAAATGTTGTCTGCCTCTGATTTAAACATATTTATAGTAATCCATTCTGTGATGCTTGCTTTAAAGGCAAAGCTAAAAAGAATAAATAAATAAATAAATAAATAAATAAATAAAT